TAAAAGAACTTATTTTTTTTAGAATTAAAAGCTTATAAGCTGTAAGAATAAAAGATTATTAAACATGATCTTAAAAGTTCAAAACTTTAGAACAAAAGTTTTGGAACACCAAACAACCCTTGAAAGGCAAATTTTTTAAAACTTAATTTTTAAAACTCTCTCTCTCTCTCTCTCTCTCCACTATATATATATATATATATATTTTTTTTTTTTTTCTCTTTTTTCGGGAAAACAACTATATATTAGGCTCTTCAACATATATATAAGCAACTATTATGTATAATATATATATTTTAGATTAGAAAGAACAGCTTTTAACAACTGGGTTTTTCTAGAAAATGTCAGATTCTTAGCTGAAGAAAACTTCCCCTTAAATTTAGGCACTGACTGATCGCCGGTCCATTGGAAGCCGACCGGGACAAGAAGGGAGGATTACAGTCTTGTACCTTCCAGATTGCAGAATCTTTAGTAGGGTGATTCGATCAATTAGTAGCTCCAGCCAAGAATTATCTCTGTCCTTTTTGGGTCATTGTCGCTTCGTGATTCATAAAGTTGGGTGTGGAACGTTTGCTGTCTAAGTGTGATGTTGATGTCTGGGATTCGTAGTAAACAGCTAGAAAAATCAAATGGTACTGCCGATCATGTCTTCATTTGTATCCCCTCCCTTGCCTGCAGAAAAAAAGAGCCAATAAATTAGCTGCTTGTGGACCTCCAAATTTGCTCTTTTAAACCCCACATGCCTGCTCTTTCTTGCCCAAAAAGTTTGGTGAAGTTGGTGAAAATCCCACCGTTCTCTGTAGGTCAAAAGTTCATTGAGCCATGGAAGTTCTAAAAGTAAGCTAATAACCAATTTTATAAATATTTTATTATTTGAATTAAACTTTCATACATTTTAATTTATTTTATTTATTATATCCTTCATGCTTTGTTCTAAATGTAATTATACCATGAGAGAGAAGAAATTATAGAGAGAAAAATAAAAGAAAATGGGTAGAGAGAAAATTTTGGGGAAAAATACTTATTTATTTTACAATCCACACTTTATATAACCATATGCAAACTACTTATTTATCAAATAATCTTTCATATTAATTAAAAGCTGTTTTTTAAACATTGTATTATTTAAAACAGTTAAATAAATAAACATAATCACTCTCTTAATTAACAGAAGAAGGATGATTAATTTATCCCCTCTTTTGATAGATTATGGGATCAAAATTTTGTTATTTTAAACTTCAAACATTAAACATATTAAACTAAATACTAGTAAAAGAAATTTGCTTGGAAAAATTAGAGTTGAGGCTGCCAAATTCAGAGTCATGTCCTCGGTTGATTTCTATCTTTTTCAAATTTATTAACCAGAATAATTAAGCAATACAGCACTCTTTCTCTTTGAAATGGAACAGTAGCCAAAAAAATTTATTATTAAAGTAATAGAACAGTGCCAAGTATGATTCCAATAAGAGACAAAAACAAAAGTTCATTTATCCTGTATTGATCTTGGTGTGATTTTCCTTGGAATTTCTGCCGCTTTTGATTTATTAGGACGACCTTTAGCAGGTGTTAGTACGAACACGACCTTGGGTGCCGTAAGAGAATTATCTGCTCGGGGAAAAAGAAGAAGGAAGAAAATCAAAAGCCATATTCGAGTACTGACAGAGCAATTTGCCATGTGGCAGTGAAAGCTTGTGAACTTGAAAAAAGAAATAGAGAGAGAGAGAGAGTGGCAAGTTTAAACTTTAAAATTGAAGAAAAGGTAGATATAAATTTAGTTAAATATTCTTATTTTTAAAAATAAAATCTATATATATTTGTATATATAATTAAAATTAATAAAAAAATTTTTGCCATTCATCAGTTTCTAATAATTGTTGTGTAAATAATGTGATTCATAAATTTTTTTTATTGCATCAAATTTGAATATATTTTATGTATTTTTATATTCATATTTGTAAATATATATATATATAATTTGTATCTAATACAGAATGCATATCTCACCTTGCTTGTTATTTAACAATTATTTATCTTGTTTCTACCGTATCCCACGTGTTTATTATTTATATCAACATCTCCAATGCCTAATCATATAAAACCATTATACCTTCTCTTTCTTTCTCTTTCCAACCTTGCATTTACTTTATAATCCTTTCCATTTTACTTTGAATTTATCAAAAGCTATCGGCCTTTAATTAAGATAACTTTTCATTAAACTCGAGTATCACTTTAGTTATTTGAAAGTTCAACCCAAAAAATAAAATAAAAAACATACATTTTTATATTGTTTTGATTTGCTAATATTAAATAATTAAATTTAAATAAAAGAAAGACACAAAGGAGATTCAACCGATGAAGTCAATCACTGTCCTAATTAAATTAATGAAAATTCTGGTGCCAGAAGCACAACCTTTCTTTTTCCTGGATATTAATTATACAAATATAATACTTGGTTGAAGAAAAGAAAAGAAAACAGCCACTTCCAGTCCACTAGGACCGAGTGTAGTTTCTCCATTAAAGATCCAACCAAGAAAACAACAAAGAAGGGAATGTCCAAAGTCAAAGAAGAAGAGTCCGAATAAATAATAATTCCCCAGCTATCGATCATCGGGCTCACGACCGTCAAAAGACAACCTAGAAACCCACCTTCTGAGCGATCTTCTCCTCGAGTTGTTAACAGATCGGCGAGTGGTGGACTCAACAAAGCTTGTTATCCTCTCAACAGCAAGGCCCAGCGTCTCCTCAGACACGTTCGCGAAGCACACACGAAACCAACCCGGTTCAGCACAGTGGCAGGACGAACCCGGCGAGACGTTCAACCCGACCTCGTACACAATCTTCTTCCATAACTCATCTCCGCCTCGAAGGTTTTTGAAGCTAAAAGGTTCCTCATGTCAACCCAACAGAACAATCCCGCATTGCTCTCGAGACAGCGAATCCCGGTTCTTCCAAGGCCTGACTTCAGCATCTCTTGTCTCTGTTTGAGACGCTTCCGGTTCTCGGAAATGTAGTGTCCGGTGAAATTACGGTCTGCGAGCATGGCAGCTAGGAGGTACTGAGTGTGTGAAGAGACCAACCCGAAGCTCGACATCTTTGTTGCCGCGGCTACTACAACCTCGTCACTGAAGTGTTAAAACGGGAGATAATTAAGAAAATTATGCTCCAAAATTATCTTTTAAACTTCTGTTTTAATTTTCTTTTAATGCTTGAGGCCTAAATAATAATAATTTTTTTTAGCTGTTTCTTTTACATGGTATTTGATTAACCTTTGATTATGTCTCGATTTCTGTTCAACCTTTGACATGGTATATAAGAAGCGGGTTGTGGGTATCAAAGCTGAATCAAAACTTTTAACTAGTCTTACTTGGAGTATATGGCGCCCACACGGAACCGGGGAGACCCAGATCTTTTGAGAGGCTATATACGATGTGGACTCTCTTTGAAAGCTCAGTCGTCCGCGGAGTCCACCATCTCCATGACGCTCACGAAGCTCGGCTGGCTAAAAACCGTCCCAGAATAGATTTCGTCGCTAATGAGGTGGATTTGCTTGTCACTAATGAAGCCGACCAAGAGGTCCAGCTCGATTTGGGTCAGGGTCGTTCCTAATGGGTTTGACGGGTTGGTGATCAAGACGCCTTTTAACTTTGAGATTACGTTTTCTGGGCAGCTTCATAGGCTTCTTCGAGAGCGTTTCGGTAATTCGGAAGCCATTTGAGCTTGTGCAGTGGATTGGTATGATCTCGACTCCGGTTCTCCACCTGAGGTCTCTGTCGAATCTGGACCCGTATTCAGGAAATATTAGAAAAATAGGAATTTTGATTTTCTAATAAAATTTGAATTCAGTAAAAAAAATTAGATATTAATGACACTAATTAGGTTACCAAACTAAATGTTGAAGCCTAATCACACTAAAAAACGTGTGAAATTGAAATTGAACTCAAATAGACGTGATTAATTAGTCTACGTAAAAACTCAATGCTTAATTTAAATAATAAAATATATTTAAAAATCAACATTCAATTTCTAACTATTTTCTTCCTCCATCTCTCAAAGCATTAAAAAAAATTATTCAATGTCTAATATAACTTTTAGCAAATGGTTTTTGATTTTCTCTACATTATTTCATCATCGACGTATAATATAATCTAAGGCCAAGAGAAGCACCACGTGGCATTTATGGAGATAGCTTAATTTTTTTTATTTTAATATAGTTTAATCGATTAATAATATTAGTTTTCAAATGAATTTATCGTATTTAAACTCTCATTTATCACGATATACATTTATTTCTCCATTTGTCTCCTCAATCTTGTATTTATTACATTTACATTTTCAATGTACAATTATTTACATCCAAGTTAATGCTCCATAATAATAAAAAAAATATATCTTTTGTCTATCATCAAATCAATGCTCATTAACTTTTTAAAGTCCTGCATTTTCTCTTAATATAAACATTATTATATATTACAATTTTTTATTGACTATATATATTGAAAACGTTAATATTTTGATTGTATTTTTATTTTGTGAATTTGAATATAAATTGTATCAATAATATATTACAAGACATAATCCATAATCAATTTAAAAATTTTCACTTTTGATTATGGCTTTTATTATTACAAAAATATAAATAATATTTTCACAATTTCAAATATTTATAAAAGTATAAATATAAGCATTTTATACTTTTTATTCATATATAATATTGTTGTTACTTCTTTTTTATATTCTTATAACATGTTGCTATTATATGATTTTAATTTCATAATTTCTACTATCCATGCACTGCACGAGCATAAGGTTGGTATGACTTGATTTTCAAATTAAACTCAATGCTAAATTATGTCATCCAATTTTAATTTTATTAAAATTTTCAACAACAAAATTTAAAATATTTATAGAAAAAAATATTTATTATCAAAAAATCATACTATGTCCCAGTAAAATTTATAAAGAAAAATACCTCCTACATTTTACATACATACATACATATATAGTTAATTTTCTATTAAAATTTTAAGAAAAAATAATTTACCTCACGCACAAAATTTTTGCACGTGCCGCTAACGAGGATATCATTAAATGCCAATAAAAAAGAGTTACACACCCGGGGTAGTACGGAGTGGAAGGAGGAAAGCTTCGCCCGGATCGGCAATGCAGAACATGAGTGTCTCGTTGGCAGAAGTTGCACCGGCGGTGAGGACTAGTTTGTTCGATCGAAGCTGACTTTGTTTCCTCTTATTTCTGACATGAAATCTGCTAGTGCCTGCACGGGGTAGTCGGGGAAAAAAGAGAAGAAGCTTGCCATGAGAAAAATACCAAAACAGAGCTTCTAGAAAAGCCCAGACTCGAGGGCAATTTTAGGACTTTCACTTTAAAAGAAGAGTTACATTGAACCAAACGCTCTTCCGAAAAGATGGGTTTTGATTTTAATAAAAAATGGAATTTTAAAACCAAACAAAATCAGACTTAAGTTATAGTATGTAAAATGCTTACACATTCTTGAAAGCAGGAAGGCCATTATAATCTTGGAACAGAGCGAGCTCTCTAAATATGACTCCCCATGACTCTTAAAACCGGCCGGTTCAGGGTTTTTTTCGAGCCAGGACTCGATAAGATCGAAGGAGAGCTGAAACACAGGATTATTAAAGAGCAAGTATAAATAACAAGTAAGAAACCATGACTAAACTGATTTTCCGCGTCAAAGAAACGATTAAAAATAAAAAAAAAAAAAAAAAACCTGATTTTCAGCGAGTCCCATCTGAATGATTCCGGTAGGATTCCGAACTTGGTCGTAGGGATTCTTCTCGTATTCTTGCCATCCCAGGAAGTACGAGGTTCTTGGCCATGAGAGTCACAACCTGCTTTTCTTGAGAGCAACTTCATCTTTAATTTTTTACATAAATTAACAGGCCAAACTACGAAAAATAATCTTTTATAAATTATCTGTAAAGAATTTTGCTTTTTGGAAAATAAAGAAAGAGTTGAAGAAAGCCAGAAGAAGGTTCAAGACGAATTAGAGAAGACAGGAACTAGAAACAAAGCTTTTGTGTGTGTGTGTGTGTGTGTGTG